CAGCGAGGAGGGTGCTGTGCTGCCCTGGACACGGGGCCTCCCTGGCAGCTGTGTGTGTGAGGAAGTAGAGGCAGGCTTGTGTTGGGGCTTCTCGGAGAACCAGCCTGTGGTTGTCATGTGTGCCTTTCGAAGAAACTCATAAAAATTCATCAAAGCTAGCACAAAAATTAATCAAAACCAGCATCCTATGTCCTGCTCTTCCCTCCACATTTGCTAAATAGCCACTTGTCCCCACTCTGGGCAGGTCACCTGAGAGAGTTTTGGTGGTTTGAATTAAAACACCAGAGCAGCATGGTATCAAAGACCCACCTGCTTCTTTCTGTGAGAGGTACGGGGAGGGCGGTCCAGATAGACTGTGGGAGTCACCTCTTCTCCTAGGGGTGGCAGCAGATTCCACCTCCCCCTTCCTCAAATGTGCCCTCCCTGTACCAAATCCAAGGAAGCCAGTGAGTTTTAAATCCTGCCCGCATCTCAGGGCTACGGGTTAAGGAAGGTGTGGCCACCCATCCAAGAGGCCCTACCTCTGCCTGGTGCCCTGGCACCCTGCCTAGACAAGACTCTGGACCCCAAGCCCCAGCCCTAAGAGGGGATGCGCTGCAGAATACCTAGAGGACTACATGGATTAGTCCCACCTCACAGGAGGCTGGGGCAAAACAATGAGCACCTACTGTGTGCATGTGAGGCTCCAGTCCACATGGCTAGGCCTAGGAAACCTGGTCAGTATGGGCCTCACTTCAAAGAGGACATCTGCAAGCTGGAAGGCACCCAGGATGCTGTGGGATTTTGAAGCCAGTTCATTAAAAGAGGAGGCTGCTTAGCCTGGAGAAGAGTAGACTCTCAGGGGACCAGATCACACTCTTCAAAGAGAAGAGGCTAACATCAGAGAGGGAGTGGAGGAGACCAAAGGTTTATTTGTGTATGTGTGCATGGAGTAGCCATAGGCTCAGGGATTCTTAGAGCCCAAAGGACCTCCAAAACCAACCTCCACAGAATGTGCAATAAGGAGAAGTTTTCTGTGTATCTATTTTTAGTTATACACACACTCATCTGTATACACAGCTCCAGCTTAAAGTAGATCACTTGAAGCAGCAGGTCCCATACAGAAGGAGGGAAAAAGCACTGGCCTATCACCAACAGAACCAGCTTCAAGCACAACATCCCAAACCAGGAGACTACCCATTTTTGCCATTCTTGAAACCGCTGGCTTTGCTGCCTAGTCTGCCCACCAGCATGCTGGATGGTGGACTGTGTGCCAGTGTCCCTAATAATGTTACGTGAGGCTTGCTGGGGTTGCACCGTAGCCCCAGAGGGCAGAGCCAGGAACCTGGAGTAGAAGAAGGGCCCTGGGAGGCAGGGTGAGCTCAATGTGGGGGTGAGTGTTTCTATCAGTCGTAGCCACTGAGGCAAGGGATGAGCTGCTTCTGGAGGCAGGGAGCTCCTGGTCACAGTAGAGCAAGAGGAGAGGCTGGGCTGACCACTCATAGTAGATATCATCAAGGAAATTCCTGTCCAGGGTGGGCTGTTGAGATACCTCTGTGTTCTCTGTCTATTTGGGAGTTCCACAGTGTTCTTGTCCCTAGAGCTCTGAGAATGAGTGACATAAAAGCAGTGGGCATGGGGAGACTGTGTTCACCAAAATGCAAATTAACCAGGATAGCCAGTGCTGTCCTGCGGAGGTTCCTGGGAAAAGAGGCTGTGTCTTCAAACAGAAAGGACCCAAATAGGGCACGGGTATTTATTTTTTCCCCAGGTATTTCCTCTCAATAGCACACCTGACCATGAGCATGGAGCTGCACCTAAAACAGAGTTGTCAGCCATAGGGACGAGGGGCAGCGAGGAGCCCCATACCACAAGTCCCCCTGCCGCTGGAGCGTCACAGTACTCTAAGACTGCCAGGCTTCAGGCGTGGCTCCTGGAGCTTTGAACAGTGGTTGATTTAAATGGTGGAAGATTCAATGGTTTTGGTCCCACAGGCTGGAATACAGATGAAGGCCAGGTACCTTCGACAGTGAACTGGCAGCCGGTAGCTTGGGTGGAAGAATAAGATGAAAGGAACCTGGTCTCTGTTACTGTAGCCACATTTACAGAGCCTGTGTGAGCACTCCCCATCACTTGAGTTGTTTGGTTTCATCAGACCTCTGATCAGGAGCCAACATCTGCTCATGAACTGATTTGCTCATTGTCTAGTGCACATTCCCTGTTCTCTAACAATGTAAGCTTAAGGAAGACACGACCTTTTTTCTCATCTCTCTCAGTGGAAGATCTATGAAACCAAGATGGTATCTGCTACATAGCAGGTGCTCAGTAAGTGTTCGCAGCTGCATGGAGGGCAATGGTGGGATGACAGTGAAGGCGATGGTGAGGGATAAAGCTGGGGACAGGCCTTCAGACTTAGCTGCAAGGCCATCTAACCTGCTCATCAACTCTCAACCCTCTCCCTCCGCTCTGCGGGGAGAAGGATGCCAAAAGGGCTCAGCTGCTAGTGGAGAGCTGTGTTCAGGTCTGGTGAATGTGAATTTGAGTCAGATGTATTCCATGCTGCCGGTTCCTCCCTTTCCTCACTGCAATCCACAAGAGCAGCCAAAATTCTAGTCTTCCTCAAACACGTGTGGAGTTAAAAATAAACAGAAGGGAGCTGTGGCTGCAAGAGCCTTAGGCCAAGTTCACCCACATTAGCACTTTACCCACAGGCCTCCAAATTGGACTTCAAGGTTCTAGAATCAAAGTGAATCAGTTATTAGCCAATTCTCAGATTGTTTCACCAAGAAATAGTGGAGTCACAAACAGATTTAGCTTCTGTGTGTGCCAATGAGGGTGTGAAGACATTTCGGTGTCAGTTTGCACATGTGTATGAACATGTATATATGGATTAAGTGTGTGCTCCCTTGCAAAGGTGCGTGTGTGCGCGCACATGTGCATGTTTGTGCACACATGACTGTTGTGTGTGGGTATTTGAATGCCACTGTGTGAGTGTATTATGTATGGAACTGTGTGAATGAATTCTCGGCTGCAGAATTTGAATATCCTCTAGTACTATTTTCCTGGTACACACCCAATCTTGATTCTTTTTCTTTTTCTTTCTTCTCAGAAATCCATTACTGAAAGGTTTTTGCCTGCCTCCAGGGGGAGGAGGGCTGGGGGAAGGGGAAGCTAAAATCACAAAGCCCAGATCAAAACACTCAGCAGCTCAATGAATTCACAGCGTTTTCCCGCATGACTTGGAGGGATAATTTAGTGAGGTCGCCAGCTGGAAGGAAAGGGATTAATTCTGCACTTAGCACAGCTCCGGTGAATAATTCATCACCAAGACCTTTGTACCCAGCCCCTGGGCAACTAGGGAGGTATCCTACCTACCTGCCTGTTGCCTGCCTGGGTCCCTGAGTGCCTACCTGGCACTCCTATGGGTCCTCAGGACACACGTGCCCCAGTGAAAGGTCAGGAGGCAGGGGGAGGTGAGGAGGAGGTGGACTGTGGCCACTGGCGGACTCTGGACCCTGAGAAGAGGGTATGGAGCATTGAGCTCCAATCTGGGTAATCTGTGACATTATTTCCCAAAGGCTCTCCTTCTCCTTTCTTGGGCCTTTTGCTGCTTCTGTGTGTCCCCTCTTGGTACGTCTTGTGTCCTGCACCTGGTTTAGTGTGTGCTTAGGGGTGTCAGGTTGTTATCTTCCAAACTCTCTCACCAGGTATTAGAGGAAGCCCTAGAGAGCAATGCAGAACATTGCACAGCAAGGAGTGCTAATGAGAGGTCTCAGGCACTCACTGGAGGCCTGTGGGGAGATATTTGCTGGCCGGTACGTTCCTGGGTATATACCTCTTACCCCACACCATGGCATTCCTTGTGTTCTTCATGGGTAAGGTCACAGGACCAAGCAATACCTCAGAGCTAGTGGCTATTTTTTCCTGGCATGGGAAGCTGGCAGTTGTGGGCTGACCCAGACATCACACCTGTCATCATTTCCTGGGTTCTTAATTCTAAACTGCTCACATTCCAGGGTCATACCTGTCTCATCACCACGGAGCGGACAATGGGAAGATCTGCAGGTGCCTGCAAGGTACACTGGAGCCAAATGACCAGGGTCCATCTGGACTTGGAGCCCAGGAAAAGCGGGCAAGAGGCAGAGATCTCCTCTGTCAGCCAGGGCTCTGCCCTGGTATTTGCCCCTTGGACCAGCCCAGCTGTAGCAGGTAGCATTCCAAGAGTCCACATCCTGATCCCCAGAAACTGCGAGCATGCTGAACTGCTGTCAGTGGCACAGTGTACCTTAAGATGGGGACATTATCAGGGCGGATCTGGCCTAGTCACACAAGCTGCTGTAAAAGCAGAGTTTTCTCTGATTGCAGTCAAAGAGGAAGTCACAGTTGTGTAGTGTGAGGGGGATTTAACATGCTGCTGGCTTGAAGATGGAGGAGGCCATGTGAGAAAGAAAGAGGGCAGCCTTCAGGAGCTGACAGCCCGCAAGGAAACAGAGACCTCAGTCCCACGACTGCCAGGAACTGGATTCTGATGACAACCTAAATGAGCCTGGAAGCTCCGTCTCCCCATAGCCTCCGGAAAGGAGTGCAGCCCTGTCAACATCCGTGCTGTGGAGGACTGCCTGCTACAGAAGTTTGAGCTCATACATGGGTGTCGTTTCCAGATGCTAAGTTTGCAATAGTTGGTTACACAGTGACAGAAGCTGATATCCTAGTTCACCCTTGTGGACCGTGGGTCCCAATGAGCCAGGCTTGGCTGAGCCAGGTCAGAGGCTGACTTCCAGGTCTGAGTGACCCTTTGCTCCAACTCTCCTCTTTCTAATCTACACTTTCTCTCTGGTTTTCTGGAGCCTCAAAGCAGGCTCAGAAATTTCTGCTCAAAGCATCAGTTCCCTCTTTGTGAAACCCTGACCACAGCCCTGAACAATGTCAGCAACTGTGAAGGAGGCTGGAACCTATTGAGGGACTACGGGAGGTGGCACAGGGCTTCCAGGCCCCGATCTTCCCTTGCCCTTCAGCCTTACCTCGGAAGAAAGCAGCTGAAAGGAGAGATCCACTGTGGGGGCCTCACCGGTTATGGTCTTCAGCTTGGTGTCCTGGAAGGAAGAAGGGAGCAGTCAGAACAAGCCATCCAGCGCAGCTTCTGCCTCTGCTGCACCCACTGATTACTCGAGAAGTGCCTGCTGAGTGCTCTGCTCAGAGGATCCGAGGGAGGCAGGAGCTGGCCTCCTGCCTTACTCACCCTCACCGCCTGTGCACATCCTTCCCAACTCCACCGGAGACCTGACTGGCGCCTTTAGACTTGCCTCCTGGCAGAGTAGGGAAGCTCCCATTTGTGGAAGTCTGTTATGACCATATGGCCAGAAGTATTTTAGTGAAAAAGGTGGCATAGAAGTAGACAGTGATAATAATGTATTTATTCTTACTGGGAACTTATTCCATTCTGAGTGCTTTACAGGTATTTCCCAAATAAATCTTATAGCAAACCTATGGGGAAAAAAAGCACTATTATTATAAACCCATTTTACTGACAAGGAAACTGGGGCACTGAGACTTTAAGTAATTTTTCCACAGTCATGTAAGCAGGTAAGTGGTGGAATGAGAATTTGAACCCAGATAGTCTGGCTCTTGAGCTTGGGCTCCTGATTCTTGGCAAACAGAGGGATTATATACAAGCATGTTCCCATCTTAGAGATGGATCTGAGGTTCAGAGAAGGCAAGTAACTTGCCCTGGCTTCTACATTGAGGACTAGGGCAAGTCAGAATTTGAACTCAAGTCTGGTTGGTTAGAGGCCTGAGCTCTTGCTGCTATCCTATGGGGTATCCCTGTGCTTCTTCCCAAGTTGCTCTAGGGCAATTTCATCACTAGCCCAAGAGTAGGACTGACTTTTGGTATTCTGAGAACTCCTCACACTGGACAGTGGCCAGCTTCCATGGTGGGAGGGCCCTGCTGGAAGCTGCCAGAAAAGCCAGATTTGCCAATGTTGGTGAGGCAAAGAGGAGCAGGATGGGGCAGTGTGGGACCGGGTGGAGCTGCCCAAGGTCGGGGACTCACGGTGATGGGGAGCTTCTCTACTCGTAATCCATTCAGGCCTTTCCCTGTCAGCATCTCGTGGTACAAATGGCTCTTCAGTGGCAACACGGAGACACCCAGGGGCTTGCTGAGGGTCCATGACTCACCAGCTTTCACTGTGGGGACAGCAGGGTGGGGCGGGGCTGGATCACCTGGGGCACCTACGGAAGTCTCCACCCCAGGCTTCTCAGATTCCCACATCTGAGGCTCCACCTGGGCCCCATCCTTTGGTACCCAAGACTTAATTCTCCCATCCTTCACCACCCACCTCCTGCCTTTGCTCGCACAAATATCCTCCTTCTTCTCTGCTCTTCAGGGCTTCCTGAGTTTAAGGCCAGCTCTAACCACATTCCTGTCTCTCCATTTATATGGAGCTCCCTTGTCCCTGTTCTTTGAGTGCTTCAGTCTTACAGTGTGGACTGAAGACTGTGGATCAGCTGTTTTCTGAATCTAACTCCTCTTGACACCCTAAGCTCTTTGCCCTGAAGCCTCCACCTCCATCCACCTCACTGATAGGTGCATGGGGAGGGGTGGTGGTGCAATAAAAGCACATGGAGACAGTATAGGAGTAGGGCCCTTTCCCACAAGCTGCCATCTGGACAAGAGAGCCAGCCTGGCGTTCCCCTGCCTATCTGCATGAACTGGGGGATTGCCCTGGAACCCATCCCCACAGAAGGCAGAGGCAAGATGGACTGAAAATCCTTTCATACCTGCTCTGATACACAGCTGCCCTGGCATGGCTCCGTGGCACTTACTTGAAGTTAAGGGGTAGTACTCCAGCACCAGGGCGGTGTCTTCTGAGAAGTTGGTGGCTCCATCTCGGCCTTGGAAGAGGAAGGACTGATTCCACAGGGGCAGCTCCGGGGATCCCCCGGACTTGGACAGCTGAAAGGAGAAATTGGGAACAGATGGTGGGACCATAGCTTCCCCCCAAACAAGAGATGTCCAGATATTGGGTTGTGTGTATGTCTACAAGATCTTTCTGGAAAAAGTCCAGCCATTATCAATACAATGAGAACGGTTTACGTGACACTGATGAACCTGGTAGCCAAGGAGAGTAGGTTAGAATGCACACACTAGAATAATGACAACTTCACTGTACTGGTCAGTGGGGGTGATAGATGCTGTTGAATGAGCATGTGTACTGTGTGGCTGTCACATTTGAAATGACTGAGCTAATACAGCAATGAATCTGCATTAAATTTTGCATTAAGCTTGAACATTCCTCTGTGGAAACTATTCAGATGATTCAGAAGGCCACAGCTGTGGGCAACTGGTGATTGGCAGCTTCAACACAACAATGTGTCCACTCATGCATCATGTCTCATGCAGGGATTTTGACGAAACATGAAATCACCCATGTGACGCAGCCCCCCTGCAGCCCAGATTTGGAGCCCAGCCACTCCTGGTTTTCCCCACACTAAATCACCTTTGAAAGGGAAGAGATTTCAGACTGTCAATGGGATTCAGGAAATAGGACAGGGCAGCTCATGGCAATTAGGAAAACTGTGTGAGGTCCCAAGGTGCCTACTTTGAAGGGGACTGAGGCGTCATTGTCCTATGTACAATATTTCTTGTATCTTGTATCTTCTTCAATAAATGTCTCTATTTTTCATAGTGCATAGCTGGGTGCCTTCTGGGTGGACCTCGCATATGTGTCACCAATGTTTGTCTCAATTATAAAAGCAGCATATACTTAATGAATAAATTTTGGAAAATGCAGAAAAATAGAAAGATGAAAAAACCCCTAAATTCCTATACATAAGACAGTACATTTTTCTAGTTTTTTCCTATACCTATTTTGTATATAACTATTATTCTAACATCCTGCCTTTTTCATTTAACGTGAAAACCTAAACATACCCACAGTCAGAGTGGCACTTGTTTCCCAGGACCCTGGTGGCTGGGTGTTCTGTCATGTTCTGGTGCCCTGGTCTCTCCCTTCCTGTTTTTTCCTATAATAACACTGCATTGAACGTTCTTTGACACATATCTCTGTATCTCAAATGATTTCCTTAGTTCCCAAAATAGAAATCTGAGTTAAAGGAAACACATATTTTAAGGCACTGGATTCATTATGGGTAGACTGTTTTCCTAAAGAGTTGCACCAGTGTGCCCTGACCAGTGTGGTTCAGTGGGTTGGGTGCCGTCCTGCAAATTGAAAGGTCACTGGTTTGATTCCTGGTGAGGGCACATGCCTGGGTTGTGGGCCAGGTCCCCAGTTGGCAGCGCTCAAGAGGCAACTGATTTGCCCATAGATGTTTCTCTCCCTTTCTTTCTCCTTCCCTTCCCCTCTCTCTAAAAATAAATAAATAAAACCTTTAGTTAAAAAAAAGAGTTCCACCAGTGTTTACGCCTGTGGCTGGTGATGTCATAGAGGCCAAATTGGACATGACCCCTACATCACCAGCCCTCCTCTGTCCCACACAGGTTTTCCAGTCCCTTGCAGAGGTCACGACAGTTCTTCATTAGACTTTCAGGGGACTTGACCACACATTAAGCCAGCAGCTGGTGCATAATGTGAGTACTATTTAAACAATGAAACAAGACAGCACTATTAATAGCCTCCAAATAAAGGGCTGTATGAGACTTTAAAAATTTTTTAAAAATATATTTTATTGATTATGCTATTACAGTTGTCCCATTTTCCCCCATTCACTCCCCTCCCCCCTGCACACTCCCTCCTACCCATATTCACCTTCACCCCCTTTAGTTCATGTCCATGGGTCATACTTGTAAGTTCTTTGGCTTCTACATTTCCCATATTATTCTTACCCTTGCTCTGTCTATTTTCTACCTACCATCTATGCTACTTATTCTCTGTACCTTTCCCCCCCTATCCTCCTCCCACTCACCTGTTGACAGCCCTCCATGTGATCTTCATTTCTGTGGTTCTGTTCCTGTTCTAGTTGTTTGCTTAGTTTGTTTTTGTTTTAGGTGTGGTCATTAATAATTGTGAGTTTGCTGTCATTTTACTATACATGTTTTTTTATCTTCTTTTTCTTAGATAAGTCCCTTTAACATTTCATATAATAAGGGCTTGGTGCTAATGGACTCCTTTAACTGGACCTTATCTGAGAAGCACTTTCTCTGCCCTTCCATTCTAAATGAAAGCTTTGCTGGATAGAGCAATCTTGGATGTAGGTCCTTGCCTTTCATGACTTGGAATACTCTTTCCAGCCCCTTCTTGTCTGCAAGGTCTCTTTTGAGAAATCAGCTGACAGTCTGATGGGAACTCCTTTGTAGGTGACTGTCTCCTTATCTCTTGCTGCCTCTAGGATTCTCACCTTCATTTTAATCTTGGCTAATGTAATGATGATGTACCTTGGTGTGTTCCTCCTTGGGTCCAACCTCTTTGGGACTCTCTGAGCTTCCTGGACTTCCTGGAAGTCTATTTCCTTTGCCAGATTGGGGGAGTTCTCCTTTATTATTTGTTCAAATAAGTTTTCCACTTGTTGCTCTTTCTCTTCTCCTTCTGGTACCCCTATAATTTGGACGTTGGAACGTTTAAAGATGTCCTGGAGATTCCTAAGCCTCTCCTCATTTTTTTGAATTCTTGTTTCTTCATTCTTTTCTGGTTGGATGTTTTTTTCTTCCTTCTGGTCCACTCCATTGATTTGAGTCCCAGTTTTCTTCCCATCACTATTGGTTCCCTGTGCATTTTTCTTTATTTCACTTAGCATAGCCTTCACTTTTTCATCTAATTTGTGACCAAATTCAACCAATTCTGTGAGCATCCTGATAACCAGTGTTTTGAACTATGCATCTGATAGGTTGGCTATGTCTTTGTTGCTTAGTTGTATTTTTTTTCTGGAGCTTTGATCTGTTCTTTCACTTGAGCCATGTTTTTTTTGTTTGTCTTGACATACCTGTTACATAGTGAGGGGCGGAGCCTTAGGTGTTCACCAGGGCAGGGCAACCATGTCACTGTGCTGTGATGCTGTATGTGGGGCAGGGGTCTGAGAGGGAACACTGGCGCTTGCTCCACCCTTTGCTGTATTTCAGTCACTTCTGATACTTCCCCCAAGCAAACTGAGCCCTTCTGGTGCTGATTCCCAGGTGGGTGGGCTTGTGTACGTTCTAGGACCCTGTGGGCCTCTCCAATGAACTCTCCTGTGAGGCTGGGGGTCTCTCCTGGCACCTCAACCCCCAAAGCTGTTTTCAATCTGTGTTTTGAGGCTTTATTTCCCTGTGCTGGAGCCCTGGGTTGCGCGATCCCTCTTGCTCCCCAGTTTCGCCTGGTTTATCTGTGTGCAAATGTGGGACCACCCGGTCCACCAGCCGCCTTGTGTGCCGGGCTTCTCCACAATCCACTGCTTTGCTGGGTTTGCCAGCCACCACTTTTTTTTTTTGCTGCGACCCCTCTCTGCCAGACTCTACCTCTCCTACTGGTCTGAATGAATGTGTCTACTTTCACTCCTTGGTTGTTGGACTTCCGTACAGTTCAATTTTCTATCAATACTGGTTGTAATTTTGTTTCTAAATTTTTGTTGTCCTTATTTTTGTTGTGTGAGGAGGCACAGTGTGTCTACCTATGCCTCCATCTTGGCTGGAAGTCCTGTATGAGACTTTGGGAGTGGTCAGAACAGCCATTCTGTGGGAAGAGGGATCAGTAGAAGGCTCAGAAGGAAGATTGGCAGGGTGATAGAGAGAGGAAGCCTTTCTGGGTGGAAAAACAGCCCACACAAAAATGTGGAAGTGGGACTAAGTACAGCTTGGGTGAAGGATGCCTGGAACAATGAGGGACTCCAGGTGGATGAGGTCTAGCTTCTGTGAAGGCCGGAAGGGGGACAGTGTCAGCTTATAACCCCAGCAGGCAGTCCTGCACATCCCATCACAGGGATGGACTGGCGGTCATCTTTGCAGATTCTCCAAGTGGCTGTCTTGTCTCTGCCCCCAGCCATGGCTGTCACAGCAACAGTGGCAGCTGCTCCCACCTCCCATTCCCCTGTGGGAACCAGTCATCACTCAAAAGGTCAGCACAAATGCATCACTGGCTCCAGGAGCTATTGATGCAGGATTGCAAAACCTCAGTGTGGGTCTATTCCCCCTGTGGTGGCAGGACCCTGATGCCTGTCACACTAATGGGCCTGCTCCAGCTCTCCAAGGCCCAGCCTGAGACTCAGCTGTGTCTGCCCATCCCTACCCCTCTGGAGATGGGTTATAGTCACTTTGGGGGCCTGAACACAGGGACAGTGACTGCAGTAATGGGAGTGTTCTTGAGAGCAGGTTATAGCCACTTGGCCATCAGGCTAGGCAGAGAAGCTGCTTCTGGGTTCTGTGGCATGTGGGAGTGATGTTTCAGGATTGATCCCCAAACCATGCCCACCCCAAAGCTATCCCATTTTCCTGGGTGGCAGAGGGGCATCCACATAGCCTGGACCATCTGCCAGACACTGACTGGGGCACTAAAGGACAGTGACTCAGTCTCCCTGCTGCCTATCTGTTGCTTCTGCTCTGAGAGAGGAGTATTTAGTGGACCCTGGCTGTCCTCTTTGTGGTCTGTTCATGTGTCTCATGAAGTCTACAAAGAAAGAAATGGTGTCTGACTGCCAAGTATGGACAGCTCCTTCCCTGAATGGTTTCCCAGGATGCATCCCCAGAAGAGATCTCTTCAGACCTAGAATTGGGGAGGGAAGGTCAGCCTCTCTCATGTGTGTAGTGGGCAGGGAGTGGGGTGGGGAGCAAGGAATCAAGGAGGGAATTGCGGCTAGAGCACCTTCAGAGTCTGATGCCAGGACCCTGGTCCAGGTGCTGGTGGCATGTGTGAGGGACTGGGAGGGGGAAGAGGAAACCAGTGTCCACAGGTGCTAACAGGAGAGACCATGGGCCATGGAATTCAGCAAAGCTGAATTAACCCCTAGCCACTAGGCGGACCTGCCTTCCCTGGAGACGGATGGAGTCTTCATTACATGGCCCATGGTCCCTTCTTCCATTTCTCAGGGCCCGTCATACCTACACCCACACCCACTGATGCCTTCTCTGCTCAGGCATGTGGTGGCTGTCCTGGGAAGAGCAGCTGCCGATAGGTGGTGCTGAGTGGAACCTCAGGGGAGCTAGGATGCCTTGGCTTGGGGCCTGGGTCTGCCTCAACCTCATCCTTGCTGTGTAACCGTAGGCAAGTCCTTTCTCCTCCTCTAGATCTTAGATTTGTCACTGTCCAATGTCTTATGCTCCCTGCTTTGATAAGCTGTTGTGAGGGTTGAAGGACACAACAGGTGTTTTGCTGTGAAGGTGAAAGTTCAATTCAGTTGAACTCAGCAAATGTTGACCGGAGGCTTCTCCATGCTATATGCCTTTGGGGTGCTGCAGGGTATATGGGGGAGCTAGAACCAGAGCCTGCTCCCCTCTGGAGCTCATTGCCTTCCAAGGGGATAAGACACCATGCCCCGCCCCCCCCCCCCCCCCCATGATCCATGAAGAGGCCTAAGCAAGCTGTGGGTTGTGGGAGCTAGAGTAACAGGGAGAAGACCATTCAGGCTCAGAGTACAGCAGAGGTGAAGACTGGGAGGGAGAGAGGACAGTGCAGGTGTGAACAGCCAGTCACCCAGTGAGACTACAGAATGCCAGTGAGGAGTGGAGCAGTGAGCCAGGAGGCTGGAGGGAATGAGGCTGTGTATCTGGCTGACAATGAGGGTTTTGTCCTGTTGATGACAGGGACCAGGGGTCCAGGGGAAGGGCCTAGCCCTAGGCAAGGGGTCACTATGGCTGCTTCTCACCAGATGGATGTGAGGGGCTGAGTGGAGGCTTTGGCAAAGGCCAGCACTAGGGCAGGATCTGTGGGAATACAAGGAGGCCCACGAGAGCATGGGTACAGACTGGCTGTGGGGGGCTGAGCCAGGACGAGAGGACGCTGGGTACAGACACCTCCTCTCACCACTGCTTGTGTTTCACTAGTCAGGAGCTCTGCAGGAGGCCAGGGTGATAAGAGCAGCCTGTTGGGCAATGTCCCCCCTCAAAGGTGCTGGGTACAGTGTCAGAGTAAGTCCTAAGTACCACCTGTGCTGGGTCCAGCAGACTCATGAGAGCTCAGGTTTTGCCATCATTACCAGGTTCCAAGAGGGGTGAGCAGACACTGGGGGCCACCTACATCTCAACCATTCCCCTCCTTCCTCTGACAGAATGCACTTTGGGCCGAGTGGCCCCATTCTCCATACCTGCCTGCATTAGCTGCTGGCACGGTGATGCCACATCCCTCCTCAGTTAATGGCTGAGAGAAATGCATGTGACTCAATTCTGGCCAATGGGATGAGAGGGGTGGTCTGCCAGGGGCTACAAAGGAGGTTTCCAGTTCCTCACAAAAGCCCTCTTCCTCTGGTCCTGGTCATGTCTAGATGGGATGCTGGGCACATTTTGTCTGCATGAGTTGTTTGCCAGCTGAAGATGGCAATTTAGGGATGTTGGAAAGATCTTGAGTCCTTGGAGATACCGCTGAGCTGACACATTGACCAATTCTGGCAGCATCCTATATGGGGGACCCTTGCGATGTGTGACAATAAATCCCCTTAGAATTTAAGTCCATGTGATTTGGGGTTCCTGTTACTTGTAGCCAAATGCAACAAGGGCAAAGGCCAGGCTGGCCCCAGAGGGGCATTTTGTACCAGGGGAGGGGCAGCTCTGAAAGGGATGGAGCCCACTCAGCTTCCACTCTAGGCTCGGGCACTTTGCACAGGTTAGCCCTTTGAATTCTCCTAATAGTCCAATAAGGTAAGAATCAGGTCTGGAGAAATGGAGAAGCATGTCAAAGGTCACACAGGAAGTCACAGAGCTGGAATCCACCTCAAACCCCTGCCCATGGTGCTTTGGCATGGCAGGCAGCTGGTGGGAAAAGCCCAGGGCTGCTGACAGGTGTCTCTCCCAGGTGCAGCTCTGCCCACTGCCCTCCTTTCCACCTTGTAGCACAGAAGCTTGCCTCTCACTGCTGGCACCTGGGCATCTCTGTGCCAGTTGCTGGTGAGCTCTCACCTGGCCCATCTGCCATGGTACTGGGCAGCCTTCAACAAGTGTTCTGCCATGGTTGGACCTCTGGCCTTGAGTCCCACACATGCAAGAGGCACTGGGGGCAATTCTCTGTGGTGAGGGTGCCTCCCCCACCAAGACTGGTTAGGTAGCAAAGGCAGCCAGAGAGGAGCTGGGGGTAGGGTAGGGCTCACTCATTAAAGCAACCAGTGCCTCCTGCCCCTTGGGACTGCCTGCTGATTGGTTTATTATTTTCTAGGCAAATGCAGGGCCATGTGTGAGATGACTCTGGGGAAATCAGGCCAAGGATTAGTTTGGGTTTGAAGCCTCTGTCCCCAGGGTCCCCCTTAGTCCCACCCCTCCCCACCACCATCACTCTTGTTCATGTCTGAGCCTTCTTCAAATCTCTTTGCCTTCAAATAAAGGTTGGGGCTCCAAAGGGATACCTTGTCCTATATTTGCCACTCCAGGCATGAACATTGGTGGGCAGACAACAGGAAGGATTTCCCAAGCACCCCTGCCTTCTTTAAGGCCCAGAGGGATTCGGGACCCATCGTGTAGGACAAGCTCCCGCTGAAGTGAAGGCCATGGGAAAAGGTGAATCTGGCCATTTGCCTGGACCCAGCCATACTCCGTGTAACCTCCCTAACATACTTAGACATACTGGCCTGCTGGCCTTCTCTCCAACCCTGACCTGCATCCCCACCTCCACAACTGTGTTTTGTTCCTAATTTGCACCAAACCTCCCTACTAAAAACCCAAGTCTTGCCCTGGCTGGTGTGGCTCAGTGGACTGAGTGCCGGCCTGAGAACCAAAGGGCTGCCAGTTCAATTCCCAATCAGGGCACATGCCTGGGTTGCAGGCCAGGCCTCTAATAAGGGGTGTGTGAGAGGCAACTCTCTCTCTCTTCTTCCCCACTCTCTAAAGATAAGTAAGATCTTAAAAAACAAACAAACTCCAGTCCTGTATCTGGATGCCCAGGCTTCATACCCCCCTCATCTCTAATTAAAACACTATTTTTTATTGTGGTGAAAAGTACACAACACAAAATGTATCCTTTTAACCTATTTTAAGTGCACAATTCAGTGTTATTTACAATGTTGTGTAACCATCACTACTATCTATTTCCAGAACTTTTTCAACACCCCAAACAGAAACTCTGTACCATTAAACACCAGTTCCCCATTCTCCCTGCCCCCCTCCCCCAGTCCCTGTCAGCCATCATTTGACTTTCTGTCCGAATTTGCCTACTCTAGGTACCACATGTAAGTGGAATCACAATATTTGTCTTTTTCTGTCTGCTCTCCTCTGATTTTTACAGCTCTGACAACCCCCACCCACTGGTTTGTCATTAGATTACACATCACCTTGTGCTGCTGTTTAACTTTCACCAGACCCAGAGCCCCTGTGGGCGCCTTCCCCACAGCACAGAGGGCCGGCCCCGGGCACGCGGCGGGACCCGTGGGCAGCTGCCTGACCGAGTGACTGACTGGATGAGTGTGTGGGTGAGTCACCAGAGGTCTGAACCAGAGAGAGAATGAAAGGGAAGGAGCCATACCTGAGGGCACCCGTTCTGGGTGACCTGAGGAACATCGAAGTTGATCACGGATGGGATAGGGAAGGAAAGTGGGGTGATGGGCAGCCCTAGGGAGGCTGGGTCCTGGTTCATCTGACTGACCCTGGGAAGGCAAGGGGACAGGGGTAAGGATAGGAGCGCTTCAGGCATCCAGCACTCTTGGTGCCGGGCCCAAGCCTGGCAGTCAAGGACCCCCAGGTGGACTCTGGATCGATGTGAGAGAGGACAGTGCCGCAGCCTACCTAGGACAGATAGTGGGCTGTGGTCCCTTTGATCACTAATTGGGCCTCGGGAAAGCTCATCTCGGTTAAGGGATGGGCTGCAGCTCCCAGGTTCCCTTCCCCATGCCTTACTGCAGCCTTGGCCACATCTGAATGCCTCGACCACCCAGCTCTAGTGGGCCTTGCATCCCCGCCTCACCTGGGAGGGCCTTGCCAGGACAATCCACCCCACGGTGGGAATCCTGGCTTAGGCCTGGGGAGCACGGAGCCTGCAGGAGTGGGATTAGGGGTGTGTATGTGTGTGTGTGTGCACAAACACCTGAACTCTCCGAGCTCATAGGAGGGCTGGGAGTGAGTGCCCCATTATCTTCATTCCTCCAGCCAGCAAGGAGGGCTCATAGGCCTTCAGAATTCGACAGGAGGTGCAGGTGAGTCAGGCAGTCCTCCTGGGCCACCAGAGTCAGTGGCAGTGACAGAGGCAGATAGCCCCAGGAGATGGTTCTGACACGGAAGGCATACGTTCACTGTGGAACTGCTCACACTGTGTGGTCTCCAGTGGCCAAACTAGCCTGAATCCCCTCCTGAGGACTGTGAACACCCCAAACCCAAAAAGAGGTCTGGGAGAAAGGGAATGAGCCAGGGCTGGGCCAGGGAGACTTTCAGGAGGGCAAGGGAGGAGGCCCCTAGGCAGGGCTAAAGGTCATGAAATTCTAAGATGAGCCTTAGGCTGCCTCCTTTGGGGACAACCACCAGCTGGTGAACCACCTTGGCCCTGAACTCAAGTGAGAGGGGGGGACTATGGTTATGGTGGGCATGAGATGGGGAGGTAGATCTGGAAGAGAGAAGGACCCCCTTTCTTCCTCTGTATGCTGCTCCCACCAGCCTGCTGTCAGGAGGGGTCTGAGCTGCCCCCTTCCAGGGACTGTGGGCAGGACCTCAGTCTCAGTGGGGAGGCTTGAAGGGCCTCGTGGGGAGGGCAGGCTTCTGGCCACCCCCCCACCCTGTCCTCTGTCCTCCCCTCCCTCCTTGCTCCACCACTGGGGCCCTACTCACTTAAACTCCCTCCAGTTGGGAACCACCCGGGCAATGACCACCATGGGGCTGGAGTTGTTGACTAGGGGCTCGTTGATCCCCCGAAGAAAGACCTGGGGAAGAGAGGAGGCAGGTGAGCCCCAGGTGGCCCTCCTGCCTGCCATCTATCTTTCCAACAATGGTCTCATTCCTGCCTCCAGGCTTCTGCACCTGCTCCCACCTGCTCCTGCCTCACAAGGGTCTTTCTCTGATCAAGGCTGCCCTCCTTCAGGCCCTGTGCCAGGCACTGGGTGGGCAGGGGCAGAAGACACAGACACTGCCCCACATGCCTCCACTGCCATCCCAAGCAGCTTCTGACCCTCTCCGGGCCCTCGCCCCTCACCCACCTATGGACTCCCACTATCCCCTCAATCCTCGCCCAACTCTCCACAGCTGAGATTCCGGTGGCTTCTTTTACTTCTCTGACCCCTCAGTGGCCTCTGCTTCTACTCCTGCCCCCAACCCATCGCCTTTCCCAGGCAATTTGATACACAGTGGCAAAAACTACCTTCTTAAAAATAAATTGGATCAAGACATTCTCCTGCTTGAGACCCTGCAATGACTGCCCCCCGCCCCACCCTTAGGCTGAATGTTATCATTCTCAGCATTCATTCAGTTATCACTGGAGCAGGTGCCAGGCCTGCATGAACTGGCCTGTCTGCCCCTTGGCCCAGGTCTCCTGCTAGCCCCTAGCCTCCTCTTTTTGCTCTAGTCTCTTTTGTGTCACGCTTTAACATGCCCCACTTGTTTCTGCCTTGGGGTCTTTGCACATTCTGATCCCTCTACCTAGAGTCCTCCCTGCCACCCCACCTCCACCAACTCAGTGGCAGCTCCTCTTCCTTTGGAGATTACATGTCACCACTCTTCTGTGAACACTCTTACTAAAGTAGTCATCCCATTCTCAGCTCCTGGACGGCCTCTTCTGTAGCTCGTGTTTATTCTAACTGCTGTCTTCTCTTCTAAGCTAGAACCCAGTCTCCATAGGGGCAGGGACATACCTCGGTATCTACCTCACTGACTGCTGTATATCCAGCTTTTAGCAAAAGCACCTGGCCCAGAGTAAAAGCCTCATGTGTGCTTGTGGAATAAGTGAATGCCATTAATGAAGGAGAAAGGGAGGAAGAAGCTGGCTGTGTTTATGAGGGTGAGAGAGACAGAACCGTAGAGATCTGGAAGGGGAAGGAGGAGGAGACTGGCAGAGGCCTCGGGAAGGGGCTGGGTGGGGTTCCTTACCACAGTTCTACACCAGCTCAGCTACTCTCTATGTCTAGGTCACTATGTCACTGTGGCCAGTCCCTGCTCCACTCTGGGCCTCAGTGTTCCAAGTTGTACAGTGAGGGGTTGACCATACTCTCCCTGGTCCTTCTAGCTCTGACCTTCAATGGGAGGAGAGGGCCCAGGAGTGGGGACTTATTCTGGACCCCTCTCGCTTTTCTCCTTCCCTCCATCCCCAGCACTCTCTCCTAAGCCCCTCAGCCAGGACCCATCTCAGTTGGCTGCCAGCTAACTCCACACAGGTGTGAGCTTCATCAGGTTTAAAACAGTGCTTAGGACCTTTCAGTTGTCACCGGGGCCTCTGGAGACTGAACCCCTTTACCAAAATTAAAGGATGAAATCTCTGGTGATGGCATTTCAAAGTTTGGGTGGGGGTGGGGGTGGGACCTGAGGGGTTCCTCTGGAGTTCTGTCAGGCCGTATTGCTCACAGGGACTCCAAGGGGTCTGAGGGCCAGGAGGGGCGCCTGAGGGATACTAACGCACCGCTGTTCTGGGCTCAGTGGGCAGGTGTGAATGAGATAGCTGCACGGGCAGGCCTACTCATGACAGCCCCGTGAGTAACAGGAGCCATTTCTGCTCCTGCTGTGCTCTCTGGTCTGCCCTCAGGAGCCTACAGGGGAGTGGGGGGACAGCTATGCTGGGGCAGGGGGGAGGGCAGGCTGCTGGAGGGCAGAGGGGCCCCGATTCTGAGGATGGGGCAGATCCACAGTGGGCCCCCTGCAGGGCAAGCTGTTCTGTGTGCAGCTACTGGTCATCCTCAGGAAAGGACATGAGAGAAGAGCGGGGAGGTAGGAGCAGAGGGTGCCTGCAGGTCTGATATGTGTTGCCCTCCATGGGGGGGGGGAGGGGGCAGTGGGGAAACAGATGTGTGGGTCATGTCCCCAGCTGTGAAATGGGGCTGAAAACACTTCTTGCCCTGCCAGCTCACAGTGTGATGGGGAGGATCACATCACCCATGTTGGTGCAGGGGAAGCCTGACCCCTGGCCCCACACTGATCATACTCAGGCCAAGGCTAGACTCAGATCTGTCACTTCTGGGCAGATTGAAGGCTAGGCGGAAAGGGAGAGGGGTTAGATCCCTGGACCACACCTTCCTGGAACATCGATAGTCTTCCTAAGGCTGTGAAAAGCCCTAGGGGTAATGGTGGGGGTATGTGTTGGAGGTAGGACCTGGCCACAGCTTATTTATGGAAGAGGCTCCATAAATAGTTGTTGAATGAATGAATGAATGAATATCTAATTAGACTGACCCAAGTTCTTTAGAAACAGGACTCAAGGAAATGTGGGGTGGCCCTAACACTTTTGCTTGGGGGATGTAGGCTCTAGGTGAGGGGCCACTACTCTAGGGGGGACAGTATAGGAGAGAAACCATCAGGAGATGTGAGCGAAGGTGGGGGGGTGCTTTTCCTGCCCTGATGAGATTCAGACAGACATTGGGCTTTGGGAGCCACCGTCCTCCCTGCAGCACTCCCTGCAGTACTCCCTGCAGCACTCCCTGCAGTACTCCCTGCAGCATGCCCTGCATGGTTTGTGAGGAGCAGAGCAAGGGAAGGCAAGGCTGGGGCGGGGCTGTATGCCTGGAAAGTACTGGAAAATGTGAGGCATCATTATTCTCATCTCCATCTCCATCAGCCCTGCTATCCTAGGGCTGTTCTTCACAAACCACTTAGGCTATTTTTGAAAGACCCCGTCGCTTTTCACTTCTTTATTTCTTCCCCCAGATACCTCTGCCCACACTCAGGACAGCCAGAGGTGGCTAAGGGCCAAGGCTGGAGGCTGTCAAAGCTTGGCCCCTTCCCACTTGCCCCGCCCCACCCCACCCCACCCCAAGGGCCCAGTCCGGCACCTCCAGAGCTGTGTGGTTACAGCCGATGCAGCGGGGGATGAAGCTGCCCTTCCGGACAACTGTTGCGTACAGTTGGGTCTTGGCAGTGGCTTCATCAGCTTTCCCAGTCTCAGTGGGCTGGGGATCGGGCCAGGGAGGAAGACACACACAAAGGAGCATGACTAAGGAGCAGACCTTGGCCATAAATCCAGCCCTCTGCAGATGAGCACTGGCATTGCTCCACTGGGGCACCGAGCTGATAATTAAAGGGTCCCTGTGAGCCCTTCCAGGGAGATCAATATGACGAATCTTCCCTTGTCTATTTGAATATTTCATCGTTCTCACAAAGACCACAGCCTGCTGTCTCTCTTGGTAAAGATGTGATAGCTAGGCCTGGACAAGAGAGCCAGGAGGCCTGGGTGATGCTCCCAGAACTATAGCTGAAGTGCTGAGTCTGCCAGGTGAGTCACTAGTCTCTCTGGGCTTGTTTCCCTGTCCCTTCCTGAGGTCTTGAGTGTGGGGCTCTCCTTGGGGCTTAAGGAAGGTCCAAACCCCTGAGGTCATGGTCGAGGAATCACTTGGAAAGGAGGTCAGGCCCTGACTGGTGTGGCTCAGTTGGCTGGGCATTGTCTGGCAAAGCAAAAGGTTGCTGGATTGATTCCCAACCTAGGTACATGCCTGGGTTGTGGGTTTGATCCCAGTCAGGGCACATGTGAGAGGCAACCAATCAATGTTTCTCTCCCTCTCTTTCTCCCTCCCTTCCCTTCTCTCTCTTAAAAAGAAACTTTAAAAATTAAAAGGAAAGAAAGAAAAGAAAGGAAAGGAAAGGAAAGAAAGAAAGGAAAGGAAAGGAAAGGAAAGAAAGAAAGAAAGAAAGAAGGAAGGAAGGAAGGAAGGAAGGAAGGAAGGAAGGAAGGAAGGAAGGAAAGAAAGAAAGAAAGAAAGAAAGAAAGAAAGAAAGAAAGAGAAGAAAGGAAAGAAAGAAAGAATAAATCAGGGCTTGGGGAAGGAAGAGGGGAGAGGAACTAGCCTGAGCTGAGACCCTACTATGTGCTGAGCACCTTGCTAGGTGCTTTATGCCCGTGATTGCACTTGATCCTTCAAATGGCCATGTTAGAAGGTATATTGTCTTAATTTTGTTGATGAGGAGTGGAGGCCTGGGGTTAAGCACTTCCTGTGGATATACAGCTTGCAAGCAGAAGCCCTGAGATCAGAACGCAAACAGTCCAACTTCACATTGTTCTTTACTCTAAACCACTGTAAGAGTCTGTGGTGCACAGTGGAGGAGAGGGAAATGATGCTTCTGCTTATCTCTGATCCAGTGCCTGGCACTCAGTAGGTACAATAAGTACTTGAACAATGAGGGAGTAAATTCTTCTTTCCACCAATCAGCCCTGGGAAGAGGAGGTGGGCAGGGGAGCTGGCCTGGGAGGTTCAGATCACAAAATAAGGGGCCTGAGGCCCACTAGATGGGTGAATTCCAGGGAACGCATTATCTCACGCATACCCCACTTCTCCTGGGGCTTCCTCCTGCCAAGGCAGCATGTGGAAGCAGCACAGGGAGAACTGGTTGGGAGACAGCGTGACCTGGGTTCACCCTTGACTCTGGTCCTCACTTGCTCTGTGACTCAGGAAGAGAGGATTTCTCTCTCCTCCGTCTAAGTCCTATGTATGCAAAATATAATTCATCTTGAGGATTAGAGGTGATGTGTGGATTGTCTAGTCCAGGATCTGGAACATAGTAGGTACTTTGTAAACACTGCCTTGCTTTGATTTTTAGATACATACCCACTCTCAACATCCATGAAATCAAAATGCACCTTCAGTTGGTGTATTCATTTGTAGTGGTAGATGTTTTATACCAACTGGGCCATTTTATGAAGATAAATTTGGAGAATTACGAATTTTTGTGGATACTGTTCCTGTCTATCTGCCAAGAGCTGTGTTTCCTGAGCCCCACATGGCCTAGACTTGTCATATTGCAGGGTGGGCACGGATGCCCAGGGCTACTCTGAGGGAATAGCTAGAGGCTCTCTCCCTACCCATCCCAGGCCCCAGTGGGCCAGAGCTCAGGGCTCTGACTCACCTCTACCAGTTCAAAGTGGTAGGGGTGGAAGACACGCAGGTACTTGATGGGGATTTGATAGGACAAGAGCTCCTCATTTTTGTTGTTGTCCACCACCTTGAGGGCTACGTCTGGAGAGAGAAAAAGTGGACACAGGATCAGGATCAGGCTTAGCTGACCACCATCCCTCCCACCGAGGTGGGAGACATTGCTGAGAGTAGGGAAGCAGGAGCTTCATTGAGGGACCCACACACATGCGCACATGTGGAACACACACACACAGGCACTCGTCACAAGCACTGTCTGAGCCCCTGTACAGGGTAAGGCTCTATGATAAGTGCTGCTAGAACCCAAAGATGCAACTCTCAACTGCAGTCGAGAAACCCCCAGCCCAGGGTGGACACGTGCAGAGCGGAGCCCAGCTCCCTACAGCAGCAGACACACATGAGCACGTGAAGGGACGCACAGGCAGGCAAGGATAGCGCCCTGTCCAGGAATAAGGCTCCGTCCCTTGGTCATGGACACTCTGACCCACTCCTCAGCCAGGGATTACGTCTCACACTTGCAGATGGGGGAAAGAGATCTGCTCAAGAGATCTTCAGTACAAATACTGATAAAGGTATACTCCAAGTAAATGAAAACTAAACACTGAGAATGATATACCACTGAGAAAACTCCCTCCAAAGAAACTACACTTTGCCATAAAATGCATGAACTTTGGGATGAACTCTGAGGAGAGCACCAACGACCTGGAAGTAATTATGGCAGCACTATTTTGCAAACACCTACTATGTACTAGGCATGAGGACATGCGCTCCTGAGCTGTTGCCCCAACAAATCCTACCACCACCCTTTATGTAGGAACCACCACCTCTGTTTTTGAAGTGTGGACACTGGATCTCTCGGAGGCTATATGACTCAATCAGCATCACACAGTCATAAATGGCTGGTGGGAAGGCCTGGATATGGTGACTCCTGAGGCGCTTTCCCACTCCAGAAGTCTATAACTTGAAGAGGAAGTGGAGATGGGGAGGGAGGAAAAGAGAAGGGGGGAGAAGGGAGAGAGAAGGTTTGGGGGAGATGGAAGAGGAAAAGAGATAAATGGGAGATTTAGAGAAGAATGAGAGGATTGAGGTGGACAGCTGTCCTCTTGGGTACACCCTTGCCCTCTGCCCCCCTTTCTGAGACAATGGCATTTCAGGACCAGAGACAGCTGCCCACTCTGTGGGCAAGGCATTGTGGGAGCCCAGTGTTATTGGGTCACTTGGAGCTGGGTACGTCATTTGGAGGAGGGGCTGGGAATGAAAGCTGAGGGCTTTGCTGGTTACTCTTGCTTGCTTGCTTCTCCCACAGCTATCCTGGACACATAGAGAGGGAAAGACACTTGCCAAATTCCCTCAAAGCTGGCCATACCGGATCCATCCTCAAAGGAAAGAGGAGGGGAAATGGGCACCAAAAGGATGTGAGGATGCCTTGAAGAAAGTAGAGTAAGGCAAGGGTGTTGAAGTCAGCAGATCTGAGTTCTAGTACCAACACACAAACCTGCTCTGTGACATTTAGCCAGTCACTTAATGTCTCTGAGCTTCATGTTCCTGCTCTGCAAAATGTTAAAACTTCAGAAAAGAAAACCCCTGTCCCTCTCCTAATCTTGTTATAGGGAGGGGAATGTGCTTTTCAGGCCATAAAATTCTAAGCAAATGCTCCTCATAGTTGTTACTATTTTCCTCCTCATTACCATCTGTAGCACTGCACACATTCACCTAGCCCTAAGCAGACTGAAAAGACTCAGCTGGAGGATTCCAGTGTTTCCAGCCAAAGCTGCAACAGTAGCTGTGGAGGCTGCAGCCTCTCATGGCCACTACACATGGGCCCTGAGTCCCCAAATCCAGCTGGTCAAACAAGGGGTCAGTACCCTGCCTTTCTCCCCCATACTCAGTCTCTGTGTGGGCAGCCAGCAGGTGAGCTGCGATGGGGGGAAATGGGCTGCCACTGTTCCCTGTTACATCCCTCCCTGCTCCCATCTCCATGCCACCAACACGCTTCTTCTCTGGGCACTGAGCCCCTGAGCCTTGCACTGTCCTTTGTGTGGTCAATAAACTTAGCCATTTCTGCTGCCAAACTTGGCCCTGACACAGGATCTGCAACTCCCCTTTGCTTTTCATTAACACATCACTGAGTTACCTCCTGTCCTTCCCCCACCCCTTGGCCTGAGCCCCATCTCCTTCACCCCTTCTGCAGACGTCACCACAGCAACCATTTCCAACGAGCATCCAGCTACTTCAGTGTGCAAAGAGGCATATGCCAGGACTCCCTGCCTGCCCAGGAGGGTCCCCATCTCCTGTCCCTCCTACTGCGAGTGTTGCTTCCCTCTCTGCTGCACAGACAGGCCCAGGGCCGCGCATCACATCCTTCCTTGTGTTGCCCTGGGTGTGTGCAGTCCAGGGCAGGATCCTAGTCCAGTTCACTCACCACAGCCCTGAACTTCCCATCAGCCACATAGATACACGCACACCCCCCCCCACTACACACATGCATGCACGCACACAGACACACATGCCTACAGACACAGTTACAAGCATGTTTTCACACATGCACAATGTCCACACACACACATGAACCAGCGTGCAGACATCCACAAAGACATGCACACAGGTGCACACCTGCATTTGCATGAATTCCTAGGTCAGTTTTTCCCTCCTCCACGTTTTCTCATGTCATCCCGCCAGCCTCACCTATTCCTTTATGGTGGAAAAAAAATCCTCTGGCTTGACCCAGAACCAGCCTCTTTCCCATTTATAGATGTCCCTTTTCAATCTTTTCCTCTTTCCCTTTCCCTGTCCTTAGCAGCTGGCTTTCTGCTCTTTGTGAGGTTTGGTGAGGTTTCAAGGAGAGAAAAAACCCCTGCCCTCAGCGAGAGGGATCACCTGCAAGATGGGAGCCCGAAGTTCTGGCTGGAGAAGACCAGAGACGTCGTGGGCACCTGTGGGTCTGGCATGGGCCCAATGCCAGTGCCCATGGCAGTCCTGGTGTCAGCCAGTCAGTGCTCGTGGGAGCTGAGTCCGAGCTCCCGCCTGCTCCAGGCCCCAGCGAGGAAGTGAGTGTACACACGTATGTGCGTACGCCGGTGCCTTGGCCTTTGCCAAGTCGTGGGGAATGGCAAAGCTTCTGGGGGTGGGGGAGTGACAGTTACTAGGCAGTTTCTATGAGAGTAGACTGCCCCCCGCCCCGGGAGCACAGGAACGCTACCGTGTGGCAGTGGGCAGGGCCCATGAGGACAAGGCAGGATAGGAAGCTATTCTAGGAAAGCAGCTGGAACACTGCAGCGGCAATGAGAGTGTGTAATGCTGAGTCCTCCATCCTCTGCTGACTGATTCCTTGAGCCTGAACCCATCTCTTAAGTCCCTGAACCTCAGTGTTCCCACCTAAGCAGTGGGAGCAGCATCACTCCTGCTGGGAGTGTGGCTCCTCTGAGCCACCCATGGTGACGTGCCAGGAAGCTGTAACATGCTGTTTCAGTGGGAAATGCAGTAATAACAACCATGAAAATAATAACAATGGCCATAAAGAAGATAAGCTTTCATTGTCTGGAAAATTCATTTATGTAGGACAACTCATTTTTCCAGCAGGCTGGGTAAATGAGGCATGACAGGATTATGATTTTTTTTTCTTTAAAGTGCTTTTAACTGAGCACAAAGAGGTGTTCAGGCGGCTTCTAGCTGAGTTCAGAGGGAGGCTGCTCTTGCCCTCTCCCACACAGGCCAGGCCCACCCAGCCCCTGCCTCACCTTCTCGCCCTGCGTCCTCAGCTTGGATCTCCACTTGGACTGTCTCCCCCCACATGGGGGCTTTGGTGGGCTCTGAGGTCACAGATGTGACTGCCTTGGAGTTCTGGTTCTTTGCTCCCTCAGATGTGGTTTTCCTGGGAGGGGAGGAGAGGGGCAGGCGGAGTTAGAGGAAGGGTCTCCTGTCTGCTCTTCACCCCTCCCCACTCCACAGTCCATAAATCAGAGCAAAGAGTGCACGGAGTGTCTTCCTTCTCAGGCAGATGCTCACGTCATCCCAGGCCCAGGGGATGCCAGGTCTCTCTCTTCCACTGCTCTGCCTGCTCGGCTGAGCGCACTGTCTTGCTGGCCACTTCTGAGGCCGCCACATGCACTCGGGCACCAGAGCCTGGAGTGGGGTGGAAGTTGGGGAGACACCTTCCCTGTCTGTCTTCCTGCCCCTGTCAGTGCAGGCTCCTCTGCAGGTGCTCGTGCACAGAGACCCTGTCATTGTCATGCTGACTGTCTTCACTAGGTTCTGCTCTGTGGGAGGACACCACTGGGCAGGGTGGCTGTGTGATGCTGCCTGGCTGGCCTCGCCTTTGCCCTTCCCTTCTGTAAGCTTCTGGCCCAGCTTCCCCCGCTCCGAACACTTTGAAGGAAGCACACACAGGCTGCTGCCTTCTGCAGCACCCACAGCGTGCAGGGCCGTGGGCCGGGCACCTGGGACTGGCCATGGGCGGGGCGGGGCGGGGTGAGGGGGTTCTGGCCCTCAAACACTCACAGGCGGTGCAGTGCCAGGCTGCCCAAAGTGAGGCGGGAGCTGGGCCCCCTGCATCCCAGTGCACCCCACAGGTCGGAGCCCTCAAAGAGCTTGGCGAGACTTAATGCTTGTCCTATTGAGGAGGTTTCTGTGTCAGGCTGTAAGTGGTGCAGCAATCACAGGTAAGGGGTCATTGGAGAGCTTGCTGCAAGGGGAGCCCCACCACACACTCGGGTGGGCACAAACAGCACCCCAGGGAGGGAAGCAGAGATGGTGTTCCGCCATCCCCACTCCCAGAAGTCCCCAAAGGAAGTGTGGGCCACGTGAGTCAGCCCAGAAGCTTATAGTGGATCTGCCCCAGGTGTTAGCAGCACCAGCCTGTGGGCCTTCCTAGCCTGGCTTGTCCTTTACTTCTGTGAAGCCCTCTGGACGCCCTGGCCCTCACTGCTCCCTCAGTCCTCTGGATTTGAGTGACACAGTGGCCTGGTTCCTTGTTCCCTGCTTGTCACAGCTCTACACCTGTAGATAACCAATCTTGTGGGAGACCCATCTCTGTGCTCACAGGTCTGCTGAGCAACCCCCTTCTGCTCTGACTGGTTTAGACCACCTGGCTTCCAAATCCCAGCTCTATACCTTACTAGCTGTGTGACTTCAGGCAAGGTATGTAACCTTGCTGTGCCTTGCTTCCTTCATGTGAAATGGGGGTGATAAGTGCAGGGTTGTTGTGGGCATGGAGTGAAGTAACATGTGTAGAGTGCCCGCCGCATTGTTAAATACCATAAAGTGTTTGTAATAACAATAATAATAATAATAATTGTCCCAGTCCTGGTGTCTTCCCACTGTGCCCCCAACTCTGGATCTACAAGTGGGGATCTTTGGCTGTTCAGACCAAGGTGTGAAGTCCTAGAAGGAGCACAGGCTTTGAAGACTCACAAAGCTGGGTGTTGAGCCCGAAGTTCCCTCTCAGCCAGGTCACACCCCTCCCCCAGCCGCAGTGGCTTCCTCTGTGAGTGGCGCTGCCCTCCTGGGGCGCTTGTGAGGGTTGGGAAGAAAGAGAGCAAAGCTCCTGCACACAGAGGCCCAGTACAAGGCATCTCCTCATTTGTGGTACAAAAAAACCTGGGTGTTTCTCAAAGGGACCTGACTGAGGGCCGCATAAAGGAGAGAAAGGGAAGTGCTGAAGGAGGGCTGAGAGGACAGGGGTGGGTCTCCCAGAGAGCTGCAACCCAACGCAGACTCAGGGCCCAGCCCGCCGTGGGGGCTGCCAGGCTTGAGAGGAGAAGGCATCACAGCTGGAGGGCCGAGGAGCTCAGCCTGCTCCATCCTCAGGTCCCTCCCTCGGCTCTGTGCCCTCTGCTGACTTGGAGGGTGTCCTCCACAGCCCTCCTTCTGCCACTCTGTGCCCTGGTTCTCTCTCCTGACAAGCACCCCTTGAAATCAGAGGTGCGAGAGCTCTCAGCAGCCTCTCACCACTCTCACCTGCCCGCTGCGCACCCCCCACAGGGTGCCCCCTCACTCTTCCGGGGAAGCACTAAGGGAGGGGGTGTTCAGGAAGGCGTGTGAGGAGAAAGTCCTTCTATGCCCCAAACGTCAAAACTGCTCCTGCACCGTGCAGTTTTTTGTATCCCCTGGGGCTTCCCAGTGCACCGAGAAGACAGGACCAAGAGTGAGTGAGGGACTTGTCACAAGCATGGCAGTGACAGAAGCCAGGTTGGAACTCATGACCATACTTGTCAGCCTGTCTTCCATCCTCCTGATATCTTTGCCTCTTGTCCCCTCCCCTTCTGTGCACAAGCTCCTAGATGTCTGGCAAGAGGAATGCCAGGCGGATAAAGGAAGGACCCTGGGCAAGGTCAAGGGAGCCTATTCCCGGCGCTGGCTTCATTCAGGCATAGAAAGAGTTAAGCAAGCTTCTCCCCTCCCTTCCCTCAGACACACACCAGAGAGGTGGGCCAGGGGAAGGTGAGTGGGGGATGAAAGAACTCCAGACAGAGCTGCACCCCTACAAGTAGGGAGCTTTTAGCAGGTGAAGGGAGCCTGTCAGGGTGATGGCTTTTCCTGGCATAGCTGATTCCCTTGGGCCTTGATGCTATTCTAGAAACTGAGGAGCTAGAGGGGCCTCTGATTGCACATAGAATTGGAGAAGGGGACGAGCTCCTATCCTGCTCGCAGCCTCTATTCTGTGCCCCCAGCTGGGCACATGGAAGGCTGAGCTCTAGGACCCTGAGTTCCCTGAGGGGACTCAGGTGTCCCACTGCAGTCTCAGAGCCTAGTGTCCTCTCCAGGACCTGCCTCCTCACAGCCATCTGCAAGACTGATACCCATGCCACCCCCCACACCCGTCTCCAGAGCCCCGCCTGGCCTGGCTCTAGCAGGGCCTTGGGGGAGCTGCAGACTGCCTGCTCACCTGGGACAAGCTTCTGAACCACACCCACTCTCCACTGTCCTCTGACTGCTCTCCAGGGCACACCGCAGGGGTGGAGCCTGCGGGCCACAGTCCCTGCGCACACACACACACACACACACACACACACACACACACACTGCCCCAGAGAGCTTTGTGCGCCACACTCTACCTGATCTCAGATCCCACCCCCATCTACCAGCCCTCAAGCCACCTCCGAGGTCTCTAAGGCCACCTGCACCTGCACAGCCTGTCCTCTTGGGCTTCCACACTCCTCAAAGCCTCAGAGCACAAGCAACTGTCTGGGTCTGGCCTTTGCCCAGGAAGGGCTTTGGAAGCCCAGGGTACAGGCCACCTGGCTTGTCCTGACTGCCAACCCCACACAGCCCCCAGAAGATCAGGGCACAGGAGAGAGCCCCAATTCAGGTCTGTGTTGGCTGCTGGGGTCCTGGCTGGGCAGACCCCTGAACCTTGAAAGGCCAGAGGGGTGCTCCTAGGAGCTCCTGGGGAAGGAGACAGTGGGCAGACTGAGAAGGAGGTGTGCCAGGCAGAACTTTCACATGGATGGTGGTAGAATGAGTGGCCCTGTGACCTTTGACCATAGCCCCTGTAGGAAAACAGATCCAGATTCAGATTGGTCCAGGCCAGGTGCCAGGTGTGTCATGATTGGGCCTCATTCTCTTCTGACAAGGCAGGACAATTCCCCTGTACTTGTACCCTCCGTGCTGGCCTCTGAGTCAGAAGGGCCCGCGCCTGCCCACCCCCTTCCGCCCCCTCCTCAGTCCTCCAGAAGGCCAAGAGGCAGCGAGACTCCCACGCCTCTGGCCGGCCTCTGTCCCTGAAATGCACAGACCAACACCACTCGCTGCTCCCTGACCCCGCCTTCTGCAACAGGAACAGGGTGGAAGAGTTGGCCCTAGCAGCAACAGTCACCTAAGCAGGGTGAGCAAAGGCTGGATTCTTGAGTTTCTGACACTTCCTGAGCTAGGCCTGGGAGGGAAGCTTTCCTGGAGGAGGCAGGGGTTGGATAAAGAGAGGGGAGGGGGCCTGAGCTGCTCCTGGGCAGGTCTGGGGAGGGGCTGGCTGGCTGACCCAGGTCTGTGGGTTGGGAGCAGGGCGTGAAGTAGTCAGAGAGGAGAGCAACACTTGTGGTCCTCTCTGACCTTGTTCTCTCTCCAGGCCCCTTCTTTCCAAGCCCATGCGCAGTGTCCTCTGGTCTTGGCCAAGCTCCCTGGGGATCGCTGGGCAAGAAGATGTGGCCAGGGGCTCCTCGAAGGAAGAGCTGAGATGGAGGCAGGGAATGTCTGGTCTCCCGCCTCACCAGACAACAGCCCATCAACAGCACCCCCACTCCATGCCCACACCTCCCCCAGCCCCCACTGCCGTGGGTCCTTGTGGGTTTTAAGCTCGTGGGAGGCTGCCACCTAAGACGGGGGCAGGGCTGTTATTCTCAGCAAAGTGATGGGCTCTCCTAGTGGGTTTCTTTTATTAATTGGACTCCAATGAACCGTCACTAATTACTGATGGTGCCACGCCACTACAGATGGGCCTCGATTGGAAGATAACTGACTCTGGAACCAGAGGCCAGCCAACTCCCCGTGCACAGGGGTGGGGCAGGCAGTGGGGAAGGCTCTGCAAATCAGACGTGGCACATCCCAAGAACCTCTGAGACGAGCACTCTGGCAAAGGGAACTGTCCTGTAAAACAAGAATGCTGCTCCGCACATCCCCACCTGCACTTTATTTGAAATAGCCTCGCTGCTCTTAAAGGAGCCCCTCATGGGCAACAGGTCCCCCTCTCCCCAGCAGCTCCTGGAGGCAGGGGTGTTTTTTCCACGTGGCCCAGGGGAGCCCACAGACCACACAAAGCTGTGGGCACTACAAAGTGAGACTCAAGCCCTGTCTTTGGGAACTATCTCACCCTCTTTCCTCTCCCGGGGGAGCTTCCTCGTTTAGAGAAACCTTTTTTCTCTGTTGAGGCAAGAGATGGTA